CAGTCAGTTGGAGCAATCTAAATGTACATCAACTCGGAAGACCACATTATTTCCAGCCAGCCCAGAGTCAGCCACCAGCTTGGCTCTTGGAGGGAGAGAAGAGAGAAAAGGCTCTGTTTCTCTCATCTTCTTGGAGTCCTGCTGACATGTGACTTTCAGGCTGCTTGGTGATAGAGCTCCTGGTGGGTTTCTGAAGCCCAGCTCAGGCAGGACCAAGGTTGGACCACATGGCATGGGCAGAGCTTGTAGGGGTGGCCCTGTGGCCTAGCACAGAGCCTGGCACAGCGAGGGAACTTGATACATATAGGTGCCATATGAGATGCCCATGGGTAGTGGAGGGCCAAGAGCAGGGCTAGATCCCTCTAGATCCCTCTGTGGGTGTTCTGGGTATCTCTTACCCTCTCCTACATCTGAAAAGTGCCCACCAACCTATGGGAGGAAGCCAGGCGTCCAGTGTGAGAGGACTTTCAAGAGTCATTCCGCACAGAGTTGAATGCTGGTAGCTCACACCTGTAATCCTAGTGATTCAGGAGGCTGAGATCTGAGGCTTGTGTTTCCAAACCAGCTGGGGAAAGAAAGTCTATAGGACTCTTATCTCCAATTAACCAGCAAAATAGTGGATTTGAAGTTCTGGCTTAAGTGGAAGAACACCAGCCTTGAGCAAACAAAGCTAAAAGTCAGAGCCCAGGCCTTGAGTTCAAGGCCCAGTACAAGCATACAAAGACTCACTCTGATTCTCCACAGCTTATCTCCCAAAGCAGACGTGGGGTTGGGGACGTGGGGACACATGGGGCCAGAGGTTAGATGCCATCTTAAGAGGTATCTGGGAAGAGCAGGGTGGAGATGGGTAGAGAAACTGCGTTTGCCGGCCTGCAGTTTTAGGTAGGGCAGGCAAGTATCTCTTGAAGAGTCAATTTGAGGTAGTGTCAGGGGCAGACTGGGATTCCAGTCCTGATTTTCAGATGCCACATCTGCGGGACTTTGGATGAATCATATGACCTCTCTGGTCTTCTCATATGTAAAAGAGGGCTAAGGTAGCCCCCTACCCTGTGGTGCTATAAGGAGGGAGTATGTCAAGTTCTAGGAGGATCTGGGAAATGGTGATTTCTTACAGCTGGGAAGTGCTGCGGTTACCATGCTGTGACAATACTAAAGCTAACTGCCCGGTCCTTGGCGAGTGCCAGGTTACCAACCTGTTCCACACCACACCCTCTCTCTAGGAGGAGGTGGGGACTGGGCCACCCTTCCCTGTCTATCTTGTGCTGCCACCTGCTGTTGAGAATAAGAACTGCACCTTCTGAAAAAAATACGCTGTCACTGAGGGACCCAGGTACCTGTCCTTTACCTCCCCGTGCTGACTATTGGGGTGGCCTGGGAGGCACCGTGGCCGGGGAACATGGAGAGGAATGCAAGCCCCAAGTTCTGAGGCCACCATGAGTTTGCAGGATTCTTGGAGGCTGTTCTGAGTCGCCATATCCATTTTACCTTCCGAATTTTCCTGACATGGCAGCTTGCTTTGTTTTCCAACCCAACCTCTCTTCCTGATCAAGATTTCACTTTACAGCAACCTCCCTGCCTCCATTCTCTTCAACATCACAAGGGCTTTGAACTCACCATCCTCCTGTCTCAGCTTCCTTAGTGCTGAGATTATAGGTGTGTACCAGCAGGCCTGGCTCAGCCAGTAGTTCTGTGTGTGTGTGTGTGTGTGTGTGTGTGTGTGTGTGTGTGATGTTCCTGGGGCTTGAACTCAGGACCTGAGCTTCCTTCCCCTAACTCCTCCCCCCACCCAAGGCTAACACTCTACCACTTGAACCATAGTTCCACTTCTGGCTTTCTGGGGGTAGGTAATTGGAGATAAGAGTCTAGCTAGCTTGGGCTGGCTTCCAACTGCAATCCTCAGATCTCAGCCTCCTGAGAAGCTAGGATTACAGGCATGGGCCACCAGTACTTGTCCTCAGCCAGTAGTTTGTTTTTTTTTTTTAAGTACATCTTTGTGTTATTCCTCATATTAAATCTCTGTGTGTCTCCACCATCCCAGGACAAAGTCTTTACCCTCTTGTCCAGCTCAGAAGACCTTCCCATAATTCCCTGCCCACTGGGTCCTGTCTCCATCCCCTCCCCCCTGTGCTTCTCTAGCCCTTGTGTGCTGTTTCCCTGCCTGGCACACCCCTCCTTATCAACTTCTCCCTAAGCCCTCAGCCTTGGGACCTCCTCTGCCCCTCTCGGACTGCGCCAGCCATGTCTTCTCAGGCTTCATTAGTGCTGGGCCACGCCTCCTCCATGTGTCACCTTTTGTATCCTGCTGGCTTCCTAGGTCCTTTTATTTATTTAGATTTTTTTTGTTTTTGTCAGAACTCAGGGCCTGGATACTGTCCTTGAGCTCTTTTTTTTTTGCTCAAGGCTAGCCCTCTGCCACTTTGAGTTTTCCACTAATGGTTTTCGGGAGGTTACTTAGAGATAAGAGTCTCATGGACATTCCTGCCTGGGCTGGCAGATCTTAGCCTCCTGAGCAGCTAGGATTATAGGCGTGAGCCACCAGCTCCTGGCTCCAGAGAGCCTTCCTCCTTGGCCATTGTCTTGCTTGCATAGTCTTTACTGGTTCCTTTAAAATTTTATATGGTGTTCTTGCTTGTCGTAAAGAAAACTTTCCAAATGTACAAAAGTGTTTATGGCAACTTCCTGCCACTTGGATTCCAGCGTGGCTTCTGGCCAGGTATTTTCCTAGGCATTCACTGACATGGGTGTAAAGTGGTTTTGGGAGAAGGGGCAGGAAACTCCCCATTTGGCCCCTGACGCTGGTCTAGGGTAGGTTGGGAGGAAGGGGCTTGTGGGATGGCTGGGTGGGAGCTCTTTCTCACTTCTTCTGCTTACATTGCTCATGGCTGCCCCTCCAGACTCTGGGCATTGCCCTCCGTCCACCCCTCCCCCACCCCACCCACCCTGGCCAAGAGCACTTAGATCTTATACATATCATTTATATACATACATACATATAGATAGTTTAGATATAGATATAGATTGATTGGTTGTGGGGCTTGAATGCTGGGGCTGGGCGCTGTCCCTCAGCTCTTCAGCTCAAGGCTAGTGCTCTACCACTTGAGCCACAGCACCACTTCCAGTTTTCTGGTGATTAATTGGAGATAAGAGTCTCTCTGACTTTCCTTGCCCAGGCTGGCTTTGAACTGCGATCTTCAGATCTCAGCCTCCTGTGGAGCTAGGATTACAGACGTGAGCCACTGGCTAGATCAAATATTTTAATCATTAATATAAAAATAACATTCTCCTCAGTTCATATTTTGCTTTTCAAATCCAAAAAACATCTTCCTTTTGTTATCCTCCTGGCTTCACATCAGGCCGGAGGCCAAGATGGTTATTATCGCTGCTTTATAGATAAGCCATCCAAGGTTACTTTATGTACTGATTTCAGTGTGTGTGTGTGTGTGTGTGTGTGTGTGTGTGTGTGTCCATCCGTGTCCATATCAGGGCTTAAACTCAGGGCCTCAGTGCTCTCACTCAGTATTTTCAGTCATGGCTGGCTCTCTACCACTTGAGCCATGCCTCCTGTTCTGCCTTTTGCTGGTAAACTGCAGATAATACTCTCTTGATTCTGGACACTGTTTTTGACCTCACTGCCACTGGAGCCCACGGTGGTCCCTGGTGGGAGGTGCCCACGCTCCGCTTCTCTACGCAAGGCCTCCCTGTCCCTAGGACTTGGAAGCTGTCCCTCTGTTCCCTGTGGCGGGGGTCCCTTCCCCGTGCTGCTGCCGCCTCCCTGGCACCAGGCTTTCTGGTCCCATAAGCCCCTCTTGGACCCCATCAAGAGCCCCAAGATTCATGGCTGCACCCAGCGCCCCAGCAGCAGCTGGCGCTGCCAGGGCTTGGCTGGGAGCTCACTGTGAAGCCACAGGCGGGCGCTGTTCTCCGCATGGGGGGCAGACAAGGAGTGCCTAGGAATTCATGTCACCACGTGCCAGCACCCCTGAACAGACGGGGGGTCCCCAGCGCCCTACAGGCCCTCAGGATGCTTCTGAGGTGTATGCTCTAAACAGATTCCTAGCAGGGTTTGGGATTTTGCCTGGGTCTCTGACAGAGGTAGCTGGGTTGACAGCATGCCCCTTATTGGCTGCTCCCTTCCTGGCGTCATTTCCATGTCTGGTGTCTTATTGGTGTTTCCTGGCCCTTGCCCCTCCCGCCGACCCCCGGCCCCCAGCACAGAATCCTTGACTCAGGCTCTGCTCCCAGGAAGAGGGACTAAGTCAGGCCGCTGTTCCCTTCCCAGCTCGACCAGCTCCTTCTTCACTTGTTCACACATTGGGTTGGGACCATGTTCTCTGCATCCGGGCCTCTGACGCCCCCTGTTCCCGTTCACCTTGCACGGATACAGGGAAGGAAAGATTTAAAAAGCAAAAAACAACAAAACCACCTAACTGACATTCCTATGACACGCAGCTCCAATCCAGCCACCCTATGCTGACCCCAAGCCTGCCCAAATGCAGGGCCTGCGCTAACTGCGTCTAGAACAATTCCAAATGAGGCAGCTTCACGGTTAGAAAGTCCGTTCAAGCCAGGCACCGACGGCTCATGCCTGTAATCCTAGCTACTCAGGAAGCGGAGAGCTGAAGATTGTGGTTCAAAGCCAGCCCAGGCAGGAAAGTTCCTGAGATTCTTATCTCCAATTAATCACAGGAAAAAAAAAACAAAACAAACCTGGTGGCTCAAGGGACAGTGTGCTAGCCTTGAGCAAAAAAAAAAAAAAATGCTCAGGGGACAGCATCCAGGTCATGAGTTCAAGCCCTAGGAAACACACACACACACACACACACAAGTCCATTCAATATCAGCAAAAATAGAATTTAATCTTGCTCAAGTCTGGGCAGCCAGTCCTTCTGGGGGGATGGCCACCCACAGTCCCTGACAGAGAACCCCTGTTCTCTCCACAGAGCCCTGACGCTGCCATCGCCAGGCAGAGGGGGGGGGCAGGGGACAAAGGACAGGGGACACTTCGTTGTTGCAGAGGGGTGGCCGGTCATATGTGCAGGGCAGCGGGCACTGTCCACACAGCTACTTCCTCCTCTTCCTCTGGATCTGTCCCTGCTGGCGCAGCAGCAGCCACCCTGAGCTCTGCTCCCAAGTCAGCCAGAAAGTTCTTTGGGCTCCTGGCCCAGGAAGGGCTGGCCTAGAATACCTTCCTGGGCACGCAGCCCTCCAGCTCCAGCAGCTCTGGCCATCCCTCATATTTGTTGGTGTCTGGGCTATTCTTCAAGAACTAGAGAGGAGAAAGAGGAAGATGTAGACAATGGCAGAGGCTGGCATTCACCTGGCTTCTCAACACTTCAATGGATCCCTTGCTTCATCCTCACCACAGTTGCGTATCACAGATAGGGGAAACCGAGGCTCAGAGGGGAGCTACAACTTTCCCAGAGTCTAAGAAATGGGATTAGAGCTCAGTTATGGTTGGTTAGGCTCTGTATGTGTGTGTGTGTGTGTGAAAGAGAGAGAGAGAGAGAGAGAGAGAGAGAAAGTTAGCTTGTGCTACATCATCTTTCTCTTCCCTCTAGGATACCCCCAGTAGCAATAGTAGCCTGAAAAGAAGAAAAAGACTAGCAATTCGTGAGCACTGTTGGATGTCTGGCACAATCCTGTACTCTCTTGTATGTTTTATCTGCACAGTGGTTCCAGGGGGTACAAACCGAGTCCACTGCATTATACAAATGGGGAAACTAAGGCCCAGAGAGCCTAAAGTCACTGCCCGTGGTCCTCTGGCAGAGAGGTAGCAGAACCCCTGTGAAATAGCAACTCATTACTGCCAAGAAATCCAGACAGAGAGCAAAACCAGGTTGTATTTTAAATGCTGGCTCAGGCTTAGTTTATGAAACACACACACACACACACACACACGCACACACACACACACACACGCACACACACACACACACACCCCTACTGAAATAATTGAGCAATGAGGAAACAAAAGATAAATTCTCCAAGCTGCTTCCCAAAGGCCAACTTTCCTGTGTGTGGGGATATGGCGGCTTGGTCCTGCGAGGGGCTTGGCTACTTCTGATAGGTCTAGACCTTTAGCTAACAAGAAGGAAGAGCACCTGCCCGGCCAGTACAGCCTCGGCCTCAGCCTCTTCCCAGACTCTTGCCCTGGGGCCTCATGGATGCACCATCTTGAGTCAGAGTGAAGGCCGGTGGTGGTCCTCACTACCCCCCACCCCTGGCTGACAGGGAGGCAGCCAGGAACTTACCTGCTCAAAGGGGCTTTTGTTCTTGAGGTCTCTGGCCCCTAAGAAGACCCAGCTATCCCGGAAGCCCAGATTTGTGGCATAGACACTCCCCAATTTGGAGAAGAGCTTCCTGATTTCGTCATTCATTCTGGAGAGGAGCAGAGGACATCGACAAAAGGGAGGGGGAGGGGGTGAGCTCAGGGACACGGCCTGAGTTCATGGGGGTAGGGGGAGGACCAGGAGATTCATCCTACGTGTCCTTGCTCAGGGTACAGCCGGAGAGGCACAACGCCAGCACTGCTCTGTTTATAATGATCACACAAGTTCCTCAACAAACACAGGGCATTACCAAGAAGCAGCTCCCCTCCCTTGATGCAAGTGTTGTAAGGATTTTAGTGCTAGCATGGTTGTGTCACAGTAGGATGGGTTGTGTAAAGTGCATTGTTAGGCGTTTACTTAACAGGTGAATATGATAAAGTGTATTTGCACACACTCAGAGGCCTGCGGTGTCACTACACAGCCTAGCTTTGTGGGACCGCGTTGCATGCAGTTCACTGTTGCATAACGAACTGAGGTCGTACATCTCATGACTAGACATAATTATATTTTCTCACTTCACTCTAGAGGTTGAATATTCTTCCAGGTAGGTGTTTTTCACATCATTTTTTTTTTTGTGTGTGTGTGGGGGGTTATGGATGGGTAGTACTGGGGCTTGAACTCAGAGCCTTGTACTCTTGCTTGCCTTTCTGCTTTCTTGGATAGTGCTGTATCACTTGAGTCTTGCTTCCAGCCTGACATTTGCTGGTTAACTGGAGTCTTGTGGACTTTGTTGTTGTTGTTTTATTTTCTGCTTAAGCTGCCTTTGAATCTCAATCCTCTGGCTCTCAGCTTCTTGAGTAGCTGATACCTGGCTTTGCTGTTTTTGATGCCTGCCTGCCTGCTTTTCTTTCTTTATCTCTTTCTTTCTTTCTTTCTTTCTTCCTTCCTTCCTTCCTTCCTTCCTTCCTTCCTTTCTTCCTTCCTTCCTTCCTTCCTTCCTTCCTTCCTCTCTTTCTTCATTCCTCTCTCCCTTCCTTCCCTCCCTCCCTCCCCCTCTCTCTCTTCCTTTCTTTCTTTCTTTTCTTTCTTCCTTTCAGTTCAGTTGTGGGGACAGAGCCGGGGCGCTGTCCCTGAGCAATTCAGCTCAAGGCTTAGTGCTCTACCACTTTGAACCACAGCTCCACCTCTGGTTTTTTAGTGGTTTATTGGAGATAAGAGTCTCACAGACTTTCCTGTCCTGGCTGGCTTTGAACCTTGAGCCTCAGATCTCAGCCTCCTGAATACATAGGATTACAGGTGTGAGCCACTGGCACCCAGCTAGTTTATCACTACTTTGATGGAAACTGCGAAGAATCTGTCAGAAAATCTCTTTGCACACTCACCCGCTGATTTCTTTAGGATCAGTTGCCAGAGGGCTGGCAGAGGTGGTAAAGGGCGTGCAGGTGTATGCAGATATTTGGTGTGCATCACACCGGGGAGCCAGCAGGTGGCGCTGCCCACTTACTTGGTCCCTGGGTCATCATAGGAGGCCACCAGCACCAGCACACCCTCCGGGATTTCTACAAGGAATTTCTCTAGGAGTTTGGGATCTGAGGAGGGGGAAAAGGGTGTTGTTACTCAGGGGAAGTGGCTGCTGCTCATTCTCATTTTCTTGTGCTGTCCGGAGGCCGGCAGGCTCGTACCACACTGAGAATCCATGGGAACATCCTGGGCTCTTTGCCCAGCCTTGACCTTTTCCTCACAGGTCACTACTCACATTGTCTTATACTGACTTAGAGGATGTACCAGGTGGCCGTGAACAATCAAAACCCCTAGAACAGAGCCCCAGTGTCCTACCCGGAACTGTGTCAACCATCTGTTTGTGTCTTTTTTTTTTTTTTTTTAAGTATTGGAGAATGAGCCCAGGATGGGTGCTTTACCACTTGAGCTCTGCCCCCAACCCCACTATTTGTTTTTTTTAATGCTTCTTGAAACCTATGATCTCACAGAACAGAGAACAGGCCTGGGTCAGATGTGGGTGTGAGCTCTCTGAACTTTGCTGATATGTTTCCATTATGTTTGTTTATTTTGCCATCTATCATCCATTCATCCATCCTCCCATCCATGTATTTTTGGTCCAGCAATGGGGCTTGAACTCAGAGCCTTTAGTTCTTGTTTGCCTTTTTTTTTTTGCTCACAGTTGGAGCTCTACATGCCCCTAGTTCTGACTTTTTACTGGTTAATTGTAATTAAGACTCTCCTGGATTTGTCTGACTACCCAGGTTGGCTTTAAACTGCAATTCTCAGATCTCAGTCTCCCGAGTAGCTAGAATTATAGGGAGACACCTTTCTGGACCTTTTTTTTTTTTTTAATCAGGTCCTTTCTGGACCTCAGCAGATCCTTTCCTGTTCCTGATTCCAAGGTCAGCATGACCTTGGAAGAGACCAGCTTCCCCAGCAGAGCTGAGTGGGGTACTCGTGCGGACCTACACCCATCTCCTCAGCACATCAGTGAATGAGTGTCTGGTCTCAATGCAACACTGGACTCTTTGGTCTGGTCTTTCCAGTCCTCCAGAATCCACTGGCCCCTGGAAAACTGGACGTCCTGGGAGGTGCTGAGGAGTCAGGATTGTGATTTTCCTGATAGCCTTCAGCGCCTGGCTGGGCTGGGCCATGTCTGAGAAATGTGTGGAACTTGGGATTCAGTGGGAGACTCTGTGTTTGCTTCCTTCTGTTGATCAAACCCCTCCCACACCCATGGACATTTCCTGATACCAGCTCCCCCCTTCCTCAACCATTGTACTTAAATCCTTGTCTCAGGATCTACCACATGGAGATCCTCATAAAGACTACAGGAAGGAATTTCAAAGGCTGCAGGACAACCCAGAGGCCCCCCCCCCCGCCTTCCCCACCAAGCTTCCCAGTGCCCCAGAGATGCCTACCTCCAGAGTACATGTCGAAGGAGCCCTGTCTCAGCACGTGCCCTGTGCTTCCTAGTGGATAAGAGAGCAGAATGGTTACTTCCTGTAAATGCCACTCATTCTGATGGCCACTGTGCTGAAACAACAACAAACAAAACAGGATGAGAATGAATGGAATCGGGTCCTGCAGAGTGCATGTGAGACCAAAGGAGGTACCCAGTAGCTGCTGGGCTGATTCAAGAGCTATAAGAACATGTGGCCAAGGGGCTGGGAAGGTGGCTCAGTGGTAGAGTGCTTGCCTTGCATGCATGAGGCCCTGGGTTCGATTTCTCAGCACCACATAAGCAAAAAGAAAAAAGCCAGAAGTGGCGCTGTGGCTCAAGTGGTAGAGCGCTAGCCTTGAGCTGAAGAGCTGAGGGACAGCGCCCAGGCCCAGAGTTCAGGCCCCATGACTGGACCAAAAACAAAACAATAAAAACAACAACAACAAAAAGAACATGTGGCCAAGCATCCAGAATCAAAAAGAATTTAGCCAAGGGACTCTTGTGTGTGTGTTGTCTTGCCTATTGCTAACACGTGACTTACTGTGTGTGTGTGTGTGTGTGTGTGTGTGTGTGTGTGTGTGCTGGTACTTGAACCTTGGGCCCAGTCCCTCAGTTTTTCTGCTCAAGGCTAGTGCTCTAACACTTAAGCCACTTCTGGCTTTTATTTTTATTTTTTAGTGATTAATTGGAGATAAATGTCTTATGGACTTTCCTACCACGGCTGACTTTAAACCGTTATCCTCAGAACTCAGTCTCCTGAATATCTAGGATTACAGGTAGGAGCTACCAGTGTCTGGCAAGAATGAGATTTTGAGCAAATAGAAAGATACCTATGGGTACATTTTAGCTGCCAAACAGTAATAAGGACTTTTTGTCATAATTGTCACCACCTAACTAGAAAATCAGCAACTTGAGCCTTACAACTTTTGAGGGCCAAGGATTTTGCATGGGGTTCAATGGTACTCAGGATCCCAGAGTGGGGTCACTGGAATTGCTTTTGCAGGTTTTGAAAGAAAGGCCCAAGTCCGTTAGGGCACCTGGTGAGTTGGAGGAAAGGCACAGTTCTCACTTCTCACCACTAGATGGCAATGTTGCAGAAGAGATGGCCCCTCTGTGGCTTTTGGAAGAGGGTGGGTACAGTGGCAAATGGCTGGGCAGGTGCCAGCAGGTTCACTTGGCAGCCCCTTCCAGCTTCATGGAGCTCCATCGAGCTTCACCCAGGGTCCTTGGAAAGCAGTAAAACTACTTTTGTGATTGTGCAGGTCTTTCTGGAATTGGTACGTGGTAACATACAATAAACTTTCTCAGAGGAAGCTTTGCCCACTAAAAGGTTAAGCATCTCACTGTGTAGCAATGCTTTTGTTGTTCTGGCTCATTATGTAGATGGGATGAGCCTGGGGCCTGGGGAAGATTTGTGACCCTCCCTGAAACTGTCTCACAGTACTATTTACATGCCCAGAGACTCTTCTAGCCTAAGGAGGTGCTTCACCTGAGTGATTAAGACCCAGAGTCAGCCTGATCTAAGTTCAGTTCTAGGTGGTTCTATTGGCTGTGTGACCTTGGGCATGTTGCATAACCTTTCCGAGTCTGATTCTTTCCTGGAAAATGGAGATTTGAAGATACATCCATTCTAGCTAGCCACCTATAAGTGCTCAACATATTTTAGCTGTTACATTATTTAAAAGACAAAAAGGCATGGCTTGGTGAGAGACAGGGCAGGAGAGTTTCTCAGGTGTCCCCTGTTTAGAAGTGGCATTCAACAGGTTTTAGTCAGAACCATTTCCTGCCCTCACTGCCAGGAGTCATGGAAACTGAGATCTTCACTGTCCTCTAGGGTCTGGCATACATGGAAGGGTCGACCCTGCAGATTCCCCCACCCCCCAGGCTTGGCAGATTATCGTGACAGTGTTCCAGCCTCCCTGCCTCAAGCCTCAAGTCTGAGATGGAGAGAGGTCTCTAGAATGCTGGGCTGGCACTTCTGCCCTATGCAGAGGCCTGCTGTGTTGATCATCAGAGCCATACTACTTCTGCTAATGCTTGGTTCTGCGCCTGCCAGAGCCTGCCTCCTGATCCTCAGGCCTCCCTGCTGCCTGCTTCTTCATTTCAGCCCTCTCCTCCTCTCTCTTCTCTCCCCTGCCTCCACTGCTCTCTGCACTGTTGTAGGAACCTCCCTGATTTTTCTCCTGGCTACCTGAGCTGCCCATCATCAACCCCACCTCTGGAACCTTCCCTGGCTGCCCCTTACATGCTGGCTCCCCTCAGTGTTGCACCCACAGGAGCTGCGAAGCCAGGGCCTGCCCTTCTAGTTCATGGCTGTCTCCTGTTCTGGGTAGGGCCTGGCCCACACTGGTTGCTGAGCACACCTGTTGAATGACTGTGGGTCCACTCACCATTCACCACAGCAATGTTCAGGCCTCTGCCCACGTTGTTCTTCACAGGACTCATGATACTGAAGGTGGGGAAGAGAAACAGAGTGCAACTGTGGATTTCAAGTGAGGAATAATTACTCGGCTTTTGTCATAGGAACTCTGAGGGGAGGGGAGCCAGGTGGCTCAGGGCAAAATCTCAAGGAAAACACAGGGAAGATCTGGGCTGTTGGTTTCCTCCTGGAAGCTGGTGGTGGGTCAGATTCTTGGAGCAGTTGTCTCTGAGCAGTGTGCTCAGAGAAGATTCAGGGCCCCTGTCTGGGGACTCCAAGGTGCTGGAGTTAGAGGAGGCCTCCTTCTCCAGACCAGAAAGTTAGTGCCATCTTGGGGTGACAAGATCCCCTCATGACCACAGCTGTGTTCCTATTGTTCCAACGTGTACACCCGGTCCTCTGGAAAGTCTATCCTTCTCTACTTGGGATGGCTGGTTCTTGGGATTCACCTGTTCCAGGGCTGGGCAAGCAGAGCCTCCTAGGCCCTTGGTCGCAGTGATTGGAACCCAGGGTAGTCAATGAGATTCATTGGGGGGCTGGGCTGGGCTAATCTGTCATTCCAACCAGTGACTCTGTCTTTTACTGCACAGAGAAGTCTGTTTTCAGGAGAGAGAAATGAAGATAGAGGAAGTAGAGTTAAAGAGCATGTAAGAGGGAGTCCTCATGAGCTAGATTGAACTTCTGGATCCAGCTGATCCTGAAGCTCATGTCTTTTGGCCTTTTAGATACACGAGCCAGTAAGATCTCGCTTTGCCCAAACAAATTGTACTTAAGTTCTGAATCTTGACTTTATAAGACTCATCCTTCCTCTGCTTTAGGATGAGCTTGTCCCAGGGCCTTTCCTATCATCTGGGTTGGGTAAGGGGTATACCATGATTCTCCTATGTCTACGTGGCAGCCCGGCTGCCAGCTTCACCTGGGCTTTTCATGCCTGGGTTTTGATCTGAAACTTTGTTTGTAGGCATCCCTTTTTCTTTTTTTTTCAGAAGGCCCAACTTGGCTGTTAGATGGATCTGAGTTCAAAAGTCAGGATCTTACGTTTATCTTGGCAGATGACCTTCTCTGAGCCTCATTCTCCTGTTCTTTTTCTTTTCTTTCTTTTACTTTTTACTTCCTCCTCTTCCTCCTCCTCCTCCTCCTTTTTCTTCTTCTGGTCCTAGGTCTTGAACTCAGGGCCCAAGTGCTGTCCCTGAGCCTCTTTGTACTCAAGGTTGGCGTTTTACTACTTGTGCCCCAGCACCACTTCTGGCTTTTTCTGAGTCGTTTATTGGAGGTAAGAGTCTTACAGACTTTTCCTGCCCAGGCTGGCTTCAAACTATGCTCCTCAGATCTCAAGCCTCCTGAGTCGCTAGGATTACAGGTGTGAACCACTGGCACCCGACTACTTTCCTGTTCTTTACAGCCCTCTCCCAGTATGCTGGGGAGGAAAAGAGACAGCATTCTGAAGGGCTAAGCAAGGTGGGGCAGGGCTGGGTGTTGTCAGGATGATGATGACTTGTACCACACACCTGTCCCCTGAACTTGCTAATGAATGAATGAATGGAATGGAGGAATGAATGGATGGAAGAAATGCAAGGCTGGAAATGTAGGCCTTCCATGCCTTTCACACCCTTCCCCACCAGCCCCCAGGTACTTACATTTCATTTTCAAAGCACATGGAAGGGCCCACGACGTTGGCAGCCCCACTGCAGATTTTAAATGCAAAGAAGTTGTCTGGGCAGGGCTTGCTGAGCCCACACTTGTTCTTTTCCACCCCTGGGGGAGGGAACAGACCAGCCTTGGTGGGCCGCAGCTTGGGAAAGGGCAAAATCTGGGTGATAGGACCTTTTACTAGTGCATCTACCAACCCCATCAAAGCATACAGGAGCCCGTGTGTCTGGCCCATCTGGGATTACTTTAGGGGCCACCCATCATAGCTTCAGTCCTGCAAGAGTGAACACTGGTTGGTAATACCAGGCACCACGAGGTAGGGATTCTCATTAGAAACTCTCTGGGGCCACAGAAACCTTCTGAGTATCCCCAGGGCCCTGGAGATAACCTTGTGGCCCAAGCCAAGAAGTGCAGGCCTCTCTTTGACTAGATTCCTTTGAGGGAAGTCTCTAAGTTCCTCTTGCCTCATTTTCTTCATCTATACAATGGGCACTGATGGGCTTTTCCTGGTGAGTTCTTGGGAACCCCTGAGCATGGCTCAGTGGATTGAATGTCAAGAGCCCTTTACAAAGCCAGGGGCTGGTGGCTCAGGCCTGTAATCCTAGCTATTCAGGAGGCTGAGATATGAGAATCGAGGTTCAAAGCCAGCCCTGGGAAGGAAAGTCTGTGAGACTCTTACCTCCAATGAATCACCAGAAAACCAGAGTGGTGTTGGCTCAAACTGGTAGAGGGCTAGCCTTCAGCAAAAGAAGCTCAGGGACAGTGCCCAGGCCCTGAGTTCAAGCCCCATGACTGACCCAAACTATAAAAGCCCTTCATAAATCACTCATTTACTGAGTACCCACTAAGACCAGCACCTAGTAGGGAATGCCCTTCTTAGTGCTCCACACAGCACTTGAAACCCATTGGGTACTCTGAATGTGGCACCTTCCACTGAGGCCTGGCACCAGAAGAACACGTGTATAGGGCCCCAAGCTGCAGAGTGAGATGTTTGCGAGCTGGGATGCCACCTGTGCCTCCAGCTTGGAAGGTTCTAGTTTATCCTACTGAGTGTTTTTTAGCACCATGTGGCCGCTGGAAGACAGTGGTGGGCAGGCCTGTGCAAGGAATTAGCGAATGTCCACCTGTAAGGGACCCAGGGCAGCTGCTTTCCCTTGGATCCTGTGCCAGGTATTGAGCCGCTCAGCCAGTGTGGTGTTGGAGCCACTTTCCAGGCTTTCTGGGTGCTAGGTAGGGTGATATGCACTTTATATTTATGACCTCATTAAAGGAACCCAGTAGCTGCCCTGCCTAGCTGGATGAATACATGGCCTTGTGCCAGGTCAGGCCTCGGGCTGGGCCGGATGATATGGCTGACACACACAGTTCTCTGAGGCAGATCAGGAAACTAGGTTCCTGCAGGGAGGCCCAGCCCACTGGTAAAATAAGGCTGGCAACTTCGTGGCACTTCTAGAACCAGGGCAGCCCACGCCCAGCTGCCTGCTGGTTTTGGCTGTCTGGGCTGACAGGCTAGCTGGGATGGTTCAAATGGATTGTCTAGATGGTTCTCTGTCCTCAGTGTCAGCATCTACCTGATGTTGCTCCTGAGCTCAAACCAGGGATAATATTGAGAGGGTAAAGGTAGGGACCCCTGGGAAGGACTGTGGACTGTGTCTGGCTTGCCTTCCCTTCTGCCCAGGCAGAATCCCCAGGCTAGACCCTCCCCCACTTCCCCCTCTCCCCCACCCTGCTGATGGTGTTGGGTGGGCATGCCACCTCTTCCCGGGGAGCCTTGGAATCTACCTTATACACCTGCTCTCCTCCAAGAGAGGCCTTTTCTCTTGAGACCAGGGGTGCTTACCTCTGTATAGAAGAGGAGTCTGGGACCCTGGGGCCCCCCTTGGAGTTTGCCCAGAGATTCATCAACTAAGTCTGACAAACCTGCTGTCAACAGCTCAGCTTAAGCAGCTTTTCCAGAATTGATTTTCTGACCATCCAGCCTTCATGGTCAAGCTGCTGGATGAAGAGAGGTATGCCCCGGGGGAGGTAGGGAGAGAACTTAGCCACTTAGAGTCAGGATTTGCTTTCTGAGCTCTGAGAGGCTGCCCCCCCCCGTCCCCCACCTGCCACCAGCTGATCTAAACCCTGGGTCCCACCTCTCTGGGGGCTCTAGTGTTGTTGTTCAGGACCTGGATGGAGCCAGCCTGCTGTCATAGCATTGGATGGATGGGGGTGGGGGAGCAGTCAGGAACCTCAGCGGCTCCTCTGCCAATCTGCCGGGCAAACTGCCAGAAATGTTTTCCAACTGTGAAATTGGGGAGTTGGTTTAGATCAGAATGGTCAAATGGTTTTCCTCTTAAATGTCAGTTTGGACCTACTGCTAGAGGCTTAATGGTGAAGCTTCTGAGGCTGCCTGTGGGCCTGGCTGGAAAGGATGCTGAGATCGATTGGTGATGTCTATTGTGGAGCAGCAGGATGCAAAGTAGCATGTGTGCTTGCATTTGCCATTCTCCTAGAAAATGAGATCTGAGTGCTGTTTTCCCAGATGCTGTGGTTTTCTGTGTCTGTACCAGTGTCTGACTGGGAGGCTTTGGGAAGATGGCATTAAGGGCATTAATGGTTTGTCTTCTTCCTTCATGTAGACTTGGCTGAGCTACCATGTCTTTCTTAAGTCTGTAAAACTCTACCCTTGGAGCTGCATGCAGCCTTCTGCAGAGTTATCACCATGTTGGAAGGGGGATTGGGGGCTGTGGTCTCTTGCAGAGAGACGTTAAGGTGCTGGTCTCTGGACTGGCAGCATAGGGGTGTCTGGCCCCCTACTCCCCCTTACAGCTATGTGACCTTGGCCAGGAGGTCTCAGCTCTCTGAGCCCCACTTTCCTCATCCATAGGGAGGGAATAGTTACAGCACCTACTTAGGGGTACATGCGGGATCACATGAGATGTCTGTGAAGTTGGGAATACAACATCTGGCACATGACCGCTGCCCTTCCAGAGTTCTGGCCCTATTGATGATGTGGCTGCTTTTCCCTCCTCTACCGAGGACAGCTGTCAGCCACCTCCTCCCTGAAGCCCTCCGTGGGTGCCTTTCCTGGAAGCCAGACCACTTCCCCCTCATCTCTTGGCACAATTGCTATTTCTACCCCCGCCAAAGACCATCAGTGCCCCTTCTTGCTTGTTTCAGGTATCTCCAGAGTGCCCGATGGATCTCTGGCACTTCAGAGAAGGCGAATCAAGCCTGAGGTCACCGTGGTAGTGACAAGTAACACAGCTGCCAGCTGGGTGGGGTGGCAGAGGGGAAGAACTGGTCCAGGGCACCATTAGAGCTAAGTCCCTACTGGTGTGAATGGCGAATAGGGCCATGGGACCCCAGGGACCAGGGGCTTCAGAAGGCATCGCTGGCCCTGGAGCCATGGGCATATGGATTTCTCTGCAAGCTGCAGGGCTGGGATCGCACCATGCTGCCCAGAGCAGCTGGTGCGGGGACAGAGGGAGTGGTACTCACGGAGCTCCGGAGGGGCCTTGCCTGCTGGAAAAAGACGATGTGGTTAGACAGTAGGTCTTGGACCAGTTAGGAAGGAGATGGGGCTAGGGCTGGGGGCTGGGGCTTTACAGGGGCACTGCTGACGTGAACTAGCAGCCCTACCTCATCTGGGATCCCTTACACAGGCACTCGTGTGCACACACCCACATACACACCTGCACACACAGGTACACACAGGCACACACACAGTTCTATGCATATGTATATACAAGCATAGATGCCCATGCTCATAGAAACATACATGCACACACATGTGTACATAAAGCACATATTCACGGACACACACACACATAGGCATGCAAGAGCAGACACCTACACATATACGGTCACAAAAGACTTTGTTTTTAGTCTCCTGGGGTCTGGTCTAGGGCTGCTGCTGACTAGGGAAGACTCTACCACTCTAGCCTCACCCTTAGATGCCTCACTCTTTTGCTCTAGTTATTTTTCAGGTAGGGTCTCATGTTTTTGCCCAGGGCTGGTTTCAAACCACAGTCCTCCTACATAGATGGCACCACAGGTGCCTCTTACTGATTAAGATGGGGGGAGGGGGTCTTGCTAACTTTTTGCCTGAGCTGACCTCAAATTACAATCCTTTCTATCTCTGCCTTTCAAGTAGATAGGATTATGGGCATGAATGACTGTACCTGGCCTTTTCTCAAAAGAAGCTGTGTTGTGCTGTGAGCCTCTGGAGGTTGAACTCTACCCCTAGTGTGTGATGCTTCACCTTCCCAGACCTCCATTTCCTTGACCATACATGAAGACCATTACAACTATCTAGGATAGAAGAGGCCTAGCGCACTGTCTGAACCTAGAGAAGGCTGGAATTGCACAGCTGTTTGGCCCCTGTTGAGGTGTCTCTCCTGGCTGCCCATGGTACTGTCTGTGCTGGGTTTTTAGGTGTTGGTCCCATCCTGACATCTTATCCAGTGTCCCAGCTGTCTCTCTGTTTCTGGGTCACATCTCCCACCATCTTGGAGCAGGTCAGCAGAGGCAGCATTCCTTCTCTGGGAGTGCCACAAATCCACACCACCCACCTCAGGCGGCTCTCTATCTTGGAGTGGTCCTAACCTCATCTGCAAGACCTCAGGGGTAGTGAGCAAGTGAGAGGGCGGGGCCCAGGGTTATGCCCCAGATCTTTGGAGACAGAGACTCTTCCTGGCTTGATCCTCCTGGGGCTCTGGGAGAGGGGGAGAAGGGCCTTTTTGGAGAAGCTACAAGGATGTATGGGGAGCTGAAAATGCCATCATACCTGCCTTGGAGAGAAGGCTGTCCTTGAAGTAAATTCTAACCTGTTAGGGTATTTAGCAACAGACAGAGCTCCAGGATGATCAGTCAGGCTCAGGAAGCACCCTGGGAGGGGCACCTGGGGACCCCTGAAACCGGTGTCTCTAGACTTCCCAATTATGTGTACCCAAGGCATCTTGTCTTGTTGAAGCCAGGTGGAGTTGAACTTGTCACACACACCCTAATCTGGAAAAGTCCAGCCTAGCTACCCAGGTAAATCATGCTTTCAGTCTTATTTCTGGGCTACTGGAGCCTTTGGTGGTTTGGAAAAGCTCATAAGCTTCCTCCAGAAAAATATTCTTCCTCCTCTGGGGATGCTGAGTACTTCTTTCTCTAACAGACTGCAAGTTATTAAACACATAAAACAAAACAGACTGGATTACATAGGGAACCAATTATTGTTATGATTACCTATCAGTGCAATAATAACAAAAATGAAGATCTGCTACAGTAATGTATGTGTTTCAGGGCTACCATGGGACGTGGCAGGGCTGGAGGCTCAGAAGTAAGTGAAAGTGCCCCCCTCTTGTGAGTGGGAGACACTCGTGTAAGTGAGGTTTTTTTTAAATAGCTGCTACTGCCAGTATGTCTGATGACCTTGTCTCTTGTCATCCAGACCCTTGTAAATTAAGGCTCTCTCACTCAAACCATGAGCAGGGGCCATCTGTTTCTTATTTGGGGTTCCCTGGAACCTTACACAGAGCTTGACACCTGATGATCATGGATTAGAGGTATCGATCTCTCAAAACCCAGGTTGTTGAGTTCTGACAGGACAAGAATTACTAGGGTTTCCTTCCAATGACTGCCCCTCCCCTTGGGCTGTGGCTGCAGGGGATATAGCCTGAGCTCCATGCCCACCCTAGGACCCATGCACTTCTGGCTCCATCTCCTCTGAGCCAAAATGATCCCTGGTCAGGTCTCTGGGGCTGGGGACATGGTGGCTGCCTACCACCAAGATGAACTTCTAAGTTATCCCAACCTTGGGGCTGGGGAGGATGGCTGACAAGATGCAGATGTACAAGAGGCATCTCAGGCCCTCCTCTGAGGGACTGTGTTAAATACCGAGTGAGTGCTTTCTCAGTGCCTTATGAAGCAGAAAGCCGGCCTGAGTCATTGCAGATTATGCTGGACTTGGTCTTCCAGGAGTACAAAGACAGAAGTACAAATCCCTCTCTCCTTCCTTTAGTCAAAAAAGATTTGATTACAGAGATCTGGGCTCCCATTTCTCTCAAGGGGGAGCTTGGGTGAATTTACAAAATCTCCCTGAGCTTCTGTTGTCTTAGAGTACATGTAACTATACTACAGATCATGTGTGAGTACACTTCATAACCACACTACCAACTACTACCCAGGGTATCTGCACAGACTAGATGATGTGCAGGTGAAGTGTGATGAGCATCTACCATTCATTTGTTCATGCACTCATTCATGTACCCACATACCCATCTACCTGCCATTCCATTCACCCATTTATTGTTTAGTCATTTATCCTATCTACTTGTCTACCCATCCATCATGTACGTATCTCTTTGGTTATTTATCTGTCTACTTACCTACCTACTTGTCTTCCTACTTGTCTATCTAGCCATCTCTCCATCATATACTTTTCCTCTTTCTGTCTCTCTCTCTTTTTTCTTCCTTCCTTCCTTCCTTCCTGTCTACCCATCATCATCCAACTATTCATCCATCCAACCATTCATCATCTATTCATTATTATCCACCTGCCTTCCCACTCATCTATCCTTCCATTTTCTTTTATTCATTATTTATTAGGTATCTACTCTAATTTAGAGTTCTACATACACGAGATAAAAGCCTTGCCTTCAGGAAAAATCACATTCTAGGATGTGGAGACAGAGAACAACCAAGGAAACCAATGAATGAACAGCAACACCATGGATATGGTGGGGTTGTGAAGGAAACAGGCTGAGAGGAGAGGTTAAATGAGGACAGGGGTCATGGTTGGAGCTGGAGTCTCCAGGAAAGGGCTCTGAGCAGGTGACCAGAGCAGCCAGGTGAAGTCTGGGAAATAGCAGGCCCATGGGGTCAGCCTGAGGAGGCTTCCAGGCAGAGGGGCAGTGAGTACAGGGAACCACTCCTCTTCTGCCCCTTCCTCCTGCCCTCTGACCTTCTTTGGTGCAGGTCTACCTGCACCATGACCTTGGAGCACTTCTCTGTTTTCTATGTCTCCTGCCTCTCAATAGCCTGAGGCACCTCATACCCTTCCTCATACCCTTTCTACCAAATGGCTGGGGTCAAAGGAACCTGCACACATTGTCACACCTGGCTCATCCTGGGATGCAGTGCAGTCCCCAGCCCCAGGACATAGACCCTGGCCAGCAGGGGGCCCCTCTCACCCAGCCAGCGTGGCAGACGGATAGTTTTCCTGCTGAAGCTGGAGGAGTTGCGAAGGAAGATCCACAAGGCTACCAGGGCAAAGAGGAGGGCAGACAGGCGAATCAGACCTGCAGGGCAAGAAAACTGTGCTAGGAGGTCACAGGGCCGGACCACAGCTCAAGGCCAAGTACAAGGCCACCCAGTAAGTCCACACATCAGTTCTATCCACATGCCAACAGTGGCACCACTTGGTGAGACCCCTTGTTGTAGGCATAGACCACACCCACACCAGGATCCAGACCGTGGGGCCACTTGGTAAAACCATGAATCATGTGATAGTCAGATGACGAGTACCACCGGATTCCGTGTGGACCCAGGGATGTTTTTCAGTGCTCTTTCTTGGCCTCTGCTTACATCCCCAGAGGGAATCTCTCTGGATAAGGCCTGGGAATCTGCAATTTTGGTTTGTTTTGTTTTTATGCTAGTCCTGTGCCTTGAACTCAGGGCCTAAGCATTGTCCCTAAGCTTTTTTTTTTTTTTTTGGTTCCAGGCTGGCGCTTTGCCACTTGAGCCACTTCTGGCATTTTAAATAGTTAATTCATAAGAGTCTCATAGGATTTTCTGCTCTAGCTGGCTTCTAACTGTGATCCTCAGATCTCAGCCTTCTGAGTCGCCAGGATTACAGACGTGAGCTATGGGTGCCCAGCAGGGGAGCGGGTCTGCATTTTTTATATAGACTTCCTCTCAGATGTCAGGTGAGGCCTGGGAATTGCAGTGGTAGAGCAGGAGGCAGTCAAGTCCTCTCCCCAGTCTATCACAGTACTGCATCCATTGCTCAGAGCAGACATTGGTGCTGTGTGACTCTGGCAAAACCTCAGCCTCACCCTCTGCCAGAGTGGACATGGGAATGTCCTTGCCACTGACATCATGGTTTCTTGGGAGGGTCATTACCGTTACAGTAGCAGGCAGGCTTCCAGAGTTACTTGGGGGTCTGGGGAGGTGCCCCTCCACATTTCCCATCAACTCACAGCCACGACAAACAAGCACATATTGGACTTGTCCAGCAGCTTCAAGATAGGCCACAGCTCCCCAGCCTTCCCTCTCTCACAGATTGCTTCCTGACTGACAACCCTATAATCAGGGAACAATCTTGTATATAGGGTGAACATCTGGAGCTCCCTGTTCCCTTCCTTGCATTACAAGGGCCAGAAAGTGGGTCCCATTTAACTCCTCCTCTGCCTTCTCTATCCTCCAGGCTCAGGCCAAGGTCCTGCATTGTCCTCCAACTCATCTATCAGCATCTGGCCTTGTTCTCTAGCCCTGACTTAGTCTTAGGTACTTGGGGGTTGGGAGGGCATCCTTTAAATTCTGCCAAGTGACAGAAGGGTTTAGGAAATCCCTTGTCTTCTAGCACTCACAGCATGGCTCTGGGCACCCAGGATTCCCCTTGGATTCAGCTCATGTTTGTGCCAGACACTGAGCAAACAGCTTTCAAAGCCATCATCTTAATCCATCTTCAAACTAACCCTAGATGCTTGATAATACTGGTTACCTCCATTTTACAGATAAGGAAACTGAGGTATAGAGAGGCAGTCTGGTTGGCCATGGGTACCTGGCTAGTCAGTTGTAGAAATAAGGCTTAAACCCTGAGAGTAGACTCTAAATCGAATGTTTCTGCCTATTGCCTCAGTTTCTCTGTCTTTACAAAAGGAATACAATGAGTATGAACTAGACACGTTCATATACTGTGCCCAGCCCTAGTGGTTTGAGGATTCTAGCTCGCTTTGGAATAGATATTTTGTCTCTATTTTCTGACCAGGGCTAGGTGTTCCCAAGATGGGAGTGGAGCTCTATAGTCCCATCCAGTGTGGCTCTTGGACAGTGGCTTCTCTAGCCCTTTAGACTAGGGCCAGGAGTCAGCTTTTCTTCTCCCCGCTGGATTGCTTTTTCCTCCTGGAATTTTGGTTTGGTCATTTGACAATGGCTATACCAAACCACTTAAGAACTGAGGCTGGGCAGAGACTAACGTCAGAAAAGTGATTGTGTAGACGGGACATAAATATGCTCACAAGTAGAGTCCCAGTCCATTAACTAATCCACTTTACTGGCCAGCAAGCTTTCTGTTTATGCAAGTTAAAAATTTTTTCCCTCTTGTTTTCATAGTTCCTACCCAAATTCTCTGTGTGAGGAAACTTGGACCGTGTTTACAACTCCAGGCAAGGTCACCACACTCTTCTATTCTCACTGACCACTGGAGTAAGGGAATATTCAGTACGGCAAGGAAAACAACCCTGGAGAGCCATTTCATGCCTGCACAATTAGAAAATAAACATATCCAAGGCCACCATCTGGCCGGAACTCACCTACATCCACGAGCTCATGCTCCTTGGCTTTTCTGTCATACCTCCCAGGACTAAGTTGGTACTTTTATTTATTTCCCTTGAGAAACAGTATGCATAGTCATCATTTTGCCAGGAAAATTTAATAAACTTTTCCTTCTTTTTCTCCAAGTTGGCAATGAGTTCAGGTTACTACATTTCTGGTATCAATTCCAAAGTAAATTTCAGAGACTTTAAGCAGCCATTGAATTTTGACCTACCTGACACTCTCATCCTGTCCAGTGATGGGAGGCGTGGGGTCAGTGGTAACCTGTGGAGAGAAGAAAATCAAATTGAAAACTGGCACTGGGAGACTGAAAATAACACTAGGCATCAGGGACAGCTGTTTTAACTGAGATAATGCTTTTACTTGGGTCCCTTGCTACCTGTCATATGAACAGTAGAGCAACATTCCTCCTTTCCTTTCTGCATCCATCTCTTCCTACTCATGCCCTAAGAGTTATATTCAATTCACCACATTTGGAGAAAGTCTGGCAGGTACTGGGAATTTATTTGCTCATCCATTCATCCATCCATTCACCTTATCTATTCATATATAATGCATCCACCTATTGTTCATCCATCTATATATCCCATCCATCCATCCATCCATCCCTCCATCCATCCACTGATCCATCACATCCATCCACTTTCCTATGTGTGGATTCATTGTCTTCCCACTTGTCTGTCCATCCTTTCCTCTATTCAGCTGGCTGAGACATCAAGCTAGTAGACACGATAAAACCACCAGAGAGCAGAAGTTCAGGTAATCTTTGTTGATATATTGAAATGTGCAGTAATCAGAACACAACTATCACAGGTGCTTTTGTGTCAGGGGCCATGCGTATACATCATCTCCTTTTAAGAACGAGTAAAGAAGACTCACTACGGTTAAGCCCAGGACTAATTAGCTTGTGAAGGTGAGAGCCAGAATTAGGATGCATGGGTCTAGCTACTGCATTCCTGACCCTTCACACAGAACTCTGCCAACAGTGGCCTTTGTCTATAGAGGAGGGCTGACATCAACATTTCTTCCTTTCTCCCTCCACCTGCTCTCCCCAGCAGGGGCTGGGTCATCTTTTCTCTCTTCTGCCTTCTGTGTTATCATCAGATGCTGGGCAGTTACCAGTGACTGGGCAGTCCCTTAGGGGGTCTGTGGAGCTGGGTGGACTGGGGAAGGGCAGGGCGGTGGTACATGTGCTGGGTCCTAGGACCCCTTGTAGACTGGTTCCTTTTCCTCAGGCCTTTAGCAACAGGTGGTTTTTCCTGTTTGCTGCGATTTTAGTCCCACCACTCTTCCAATCCCATTCTACCCCAGATAGAGTCTTTCTTCTTCTAAGAATCCATCTCAGCAGATGCCCAACTGCCAAGGATAGGCCTTGGAACAGGAGACATGACTCAACCCTGGCATAGCCCCTGATGGTCTCTTTCTGTGGGGACACACTGCCCAGCCTCTGGGGAGCTTCCCATTCTGTATACAGGCCAGAGGCACTTGGGCTGGTCCCATCCTTCACATTCAAACCAGGGCCACAGCAAGTGCAAATCCATAACTTTTGGTTAGAAGCCAGCCCTCCTGACCATCTTAATGTTCTTATCTAGGGCCTTCCATGTCAGAAGTCTGAGCTGCCCCACTGGCTCTATCCACAGATAGGTTCTGTGGAAGTTTAGCATCTTGAAATTCATATTATCAACATTTTTTTCCCAGATACAAAAATACTGAGTGATCACAAATGTTCTTGGAGTGACCCATAGCTCAGGAGCCTAGTCTCGGGATGAGACTTGAAGGACATTCTGTGGGGTTCCCCCATGGGAGGAGGGACTGGGTTAGTAGAAGCCAGAGGGAAGGAACGATGGCCACGGTCAGCCCCAAACAGAAAGTCACAGAGCATGTGCAAAGCAACAGAGCTGATTAAGCTAGGGCAGAATGGAAAGGGTTGGGAGAGGCAGAGAACAAGATAGAAGTAGAATCAGAAGAAGACAGGAACAAAGAATGACAAAGAAATGAGACAGACATCAGAACTGGTATTCTCCCTCACCCCCCATACACTCGGTGACATTCAGACACATAGGAGAGACCAGGGGCAGAGATGGTGGGTAGGGTCACATATGCAGGCAGAGGCTAGCTAGCCTCTGGCTGTCTGGCACGTGCTGAGCAGTGACTTGCTGCCTGGTGGGGGCGAGGAGAAGCAGTGGCTATTCCTAGCCACTGAGCTGTGAGATCTTGCCCGCCTCATATTCTCCTCTCTGAGTTCTTAGCTGTCCACCTGATACCTGAAAGACTGACTCCCTGATCTTCTGAGTCTCCAACCAGCTTACTGTGGCAACATGGGTGCTCTGGGGTTGGCCTGATGCAGGGAGGGGGAGCAACCCCCTCCCCCCACCTCCCTCCCGAACAGCAGCACCAGATAGGGCAAGAATTCTCTCTGCAGCTACCAAAGCCTGGAAATAGTTTCTTTCCTCCTTGTCCCACCTGGAGATTTGTCACAACCTGTTATTCAGGTTGTAAAGTTTGACAGAGAGAGAGAGAGAGAGAGAGAGAGGAGAGAGAGAGAGAGAGAGGGAAAGACAGAGAGAGGGAAGGAGGAAAAGAGGGAAAGAGAGAGAGATGGAAAGAGGGAAAGAGAGAGAGATGGAAAGAGGGAAAGAGAGATGGAAAGAGGGAAAGAGAGAGAGAGAGAGAGAGAGAGAGAGAGAAGGGTGGGGGGGGAGGGGCCCCATGGCTCTGCATGTTGGTTTGGCCTGTTGGGTCCAGATAGGGTAGCTCCTGGGTGCTGTGTGTTCATGTGGGCAGGTAGATAGGAGCCTGGAAGAAAGAGGGAGGGGGAGGGGAGAGCCTGAATTGCAATGAGCTGACCTTTCCTCCCAGACTAGAGAGCCACTGACCACCCTTTCCTCCCCCAACTATCCTACCCTTTCCCATGGTCCCATTTGAATACTGGCTATAGATCGCTCCTGTTTATAAGGCCCTGACCAGGCCTGGTGCCCTACAGGCCCAGGACTAGCTGAATAGTAAGGAAGTGCTCAGCAAGTGTTTGGGGACTGAGGGAATTGAATTCTTATATAGTCTATGAAGGTTAGGGGAATGAAACCACCAGCTGAAAAAGGAAACGGAAGTTTAGAGAAGCCACACAGCCAATTGTGGATTATTCCTGCAGCATTTTCTGAGCATTTGTAGGAAGGTGGGCTGGGTACCAGGCACAGGGGGACGTGGCTGTAAGCCAGGCAGTGCAGTACCCATGGGCTTTTGCACTTTCTAGCCCTTCTTGTGAATATTATTCCTCTGTGTTTGGAATACTCCTACTCACCCTAGCAGTCTCAAGGGAGAAACACTTCCTCTGGGCAGCCTTCCCTGGTCTCTAAGTAAAGATTTCAACACTACATGTGGCCCTGGATGGAGGCAGATCTATCATAGGACCCCCAACTCTGGCCATGAAGGGGCTGGCCAATCAGGACTTTGTGATTTCCTTGTGATTGGTTTGGAAGTGAGCATGTGACCCAAGCAAGGGCCAATCAGCATTTTCCCCAGATGAATATATAGCAAGTGGGGAAAACAAGCTCCTTACCATCCCTGACCCCCAGATGCTGAGCTTGATGTCTGTAAGTCTGAGCTGCAGAAAGGGGTGCCTTTCTCAGCTGCTTCTCAGTCTCCTGGGGCAGGCATGGCTTGGTATGTGTTCTTGGGCACATGTCTCTAGGACTCCATTTGTCCCTTTGTCCTTGGAGAATGATGGGTGGTGAGAACTTGTCCAGTTGGATTTGCTAGCATGACAGCACATGCACATCTCCCTCCTGTTTGAGGGGGCCACTCACTATGGCTGGCCCTGTTAACTCCCATACAGATGTTTGTTCTTTCAGAAGGACACAGTGCCATTACAGTCTCTGTCTGCGGGGCTGTGACATTTCTTTACCTTTCTTTTATTTGGATTGGATTCAGGGCACGTTAAACACGTGTTCTAGTATTGAGCTACTCTCCACTTGCCCAAGCCATTGTGACATCTCTTCATGGTCCTCCAGGAGCCCAGATGTCAACTTCTTCATGTTTCCCAGAGCCCTCTGTATACATGTGTCTGTCCCAGAACCAAGATGGACTGAGGAAAGGTTACAATCTCTTTGGAATTAAATCCTGGCTGCTGGCCCTTCTCTACAGTGCAAGGCCCCCCCCCCTCCATTAGGGTGGCTCATCCTGCTCTGCAATCAGCCCTGACTTTTGAGCCATCTTCTTCCACTGGGAGTGGCTCTCAAGGGTCTTCTCCATCCGTGCCTTGATGCGGGTAGTAAATGCTGCTGGAGGGACTTTGTTGGGAAAATGAGCTTGTGGTAAAGAGACCAAAGGCTTCTCCCTCCACCTGAATTTCTTCTTCCTTTTCACTTCGTGTGGAACATGTTTCCTCTAAAACCAGATCCTGCCCAATGTCCAGGCTTCAGAGTCTAACTAGCATCTGGAAACTCAAGCTATTTCTTCAACATACCCAGGAATTCTGTAGGTTGAGTGTGGTCACTCAGGGAGTGTTATCTCTTCTGCCGGGCTTCTTGTGGTTCCATCTATCCTTATCAGCAAGCCTGTGGGCAGGGAGCCATTGCCAAGGACAAAGTCTGCGTTCTTCAGGTAAGGGAGATGGAAACCCCATTCAGGTAGAAACAGGGCTTGAAGGAGGCAAACTCAGGAGGAAAGAATAAAACTCAGGTAGGGAGACACAAGCAGAACACAAAACGAGATACAAAAGGTGACGTATATGTTGACAGACACCTGGACGGCACACACATGCACACACATAGATCAGGGGCTGCTGAGGCGCCTTCCAAGGCTCAGTCTCTGTCCAGGCCCAGGTTCCCCTAAGTTTCTTTTTTAAATATATTTTTATTGTAAAATACTGTACAGAGGGGTTATAGTTACATGAGTAAGGTAATGAGTACATTTCTTTTTTTATTGTGAAAATACTATACAGAGGGGTTACAATTACATGGGCAAGATAATGAGTACATTTCTTATCAAGCATTGTAGCCTCCTCCTTTGTTTCCTCTTCCCATCCCATCCTCCCCTGGCCCCCCAACCAACCCTCCCCGCCCACCAAAGTGGTAAAGTTCGTTTTCGACATAAGACTTGTACATCTCATTGTTGCAATGGGTCCACCTGTATCCCTATTTAAACGATTTGTTTCCCTTCCCCTCCCCAAATTATAACAACATCAAATACAGTGAAAGCAGGGTTTATACTGTGGGGGAGGGACATACAAAGCCACAAAGAAATAATCTTATAAATGTGTTAGACAC